AAGCTTGTTAGATGAACACTTTCCCTCCAAACCCAACATGACTATTTTACAGATTTATGATGGGGTTAGACTGTTACACTGCTGATGATGGTGTAACGTAGCACGAACATTCCGAAGAGCTTGAAATTTCCTTTTAAAAAATCTTACAACTAGATATTGTTAAGCAATTACAATTCTTTTCACTGCTCCTAGCATTATGAAAATTCATGCTTACACAAAGTCCAGAAGCATAAAAAAGTTTGCATGGCTGCTTCATGTTCAGTAGAATCAGATTAGAAACCACCCAGATATCCTGTGATGTATGGATCTGCTCATGGTAGATTTGTAAGGAAAGAACTACTGATAAACACAACTACTTGGAAGAATCCAGAAAATCCAAAAAGATTGTAGACTGGGAGACTCTGTCTATAGGAGCTACTGTTAGAGTGTTAGCGTTAGGCAATGTTAGGCCCCTTCGTGCCAAGAAGCTGCTGCTTTGCTAGGTCGGGATGCGTCTGGACCACGGAAAACTCCACTTCAACGATAAATGTGTTCCTTGTCCCTCTGAGACCTTGTGAACAGTGTCACAATCCTTATCTATAGAATGCACCCAGTTGCAGGAGGACAGTGGCACAAACATCCAGTCCCAGGAGTGGGATGAGCCATAAAGATAATGTGTGTGGGAATGCAATGAGCTGTCTAGACCCAGGGGCGTTAAAGATAGTGTGTGTGGGAACAAAGGGGACTGTTTGCACCTGGAAGCCCTAAAGATGACGTGTCTGGTTGCTGTGTTTGAATTTGTGTGGGCTATGATGCATGTAACGACCGAAGGGGCCTATATAATCTCTGTCTTTTGCTAGTTCAGGGTCCAACCTCTCCTTGGCTGGCCTGTGTGCCCCAACATCGGTCTGACCCCAGCATGCTGGCACAATAAACTCTGCTTGCTTTTGCATTATCAGTGAGGCTGTTTGTCGTTCATGGGAAAACCGGACCCTAACACTACCTTTTAGGATTAAAATGTAGAAACGAAGAAGAAGTTAGAAAGGGGTGGTGGGAGGACTAAGGGTCTAACTCTAAAAGGGCAGTGTGTGGTCTTCACCAGGAGACTGGCGTATCAGTGTTGAGATCCTGGCTTTGTTCTTGTATTTGACTCTGCAAATATTGTAGGGGGAACTGAGTAAAGGATGCAGAGGTACACTGTATGCTTTTTTTTTTTCAGATGATTCTCAAAATAGAAAGTGTAATTTAAAAGTTCTTGTCATCAGTCGCTAACTGTAGTAGAATTACTAACATTAGCCTTGGCAGATTAAGAGAAGAATGGCGTGATTTTTGACACAGCAGAGTGAAATCTGTGCCTCAATCCCAGGGAACATGAGAGGGGATTCTTGATTAAACCAGGTAATTGTTTCAGTCTCTTCATTCTGCAGCAACAAGAACACTTCAACCTTGTTAATTTATAAACAATAGAAGTATTGTATTACTCACTGTTCTGGAGCTGGTGGATCCAAGATCCAGGTACCAGAACATTTAGTGTATGTTGAAGTCTTGTGCTGCTGTGTCCTCCAATGATGCAAGGAGCAAGGTACCTCCCTTACTCTCTTCACCAGGAGTAATGAACTCATCCATGAGATTGAAGTCCTCCTGCAAACATAGGTTCCCAACAGGTTTCTCCTCTTAACATCACCACAATAGGGACCAGATGTCAACAAGAATGGTGGAGTAATACAGTCCGATCACAGCCGTGACATCAAGGTTTAGAGTCAGAAGACAGTTTGGGAGTTACCCAGTTCTTCTCAAAAGAGTTTAAACATTGGTTTAAGAACAGGATCTAGGTCGCTGGAGATAACCGATATTTCTAACAGTTTTTACCATTCTTTACTCCTCTGCAAATTTAAATCCAGGGTTGTGGAAAGAAGCAATATCAGTGGAAGGGCTGGTGTCAAGACAAGCATGTGACCCAGGAGTCGCATGGATAAGCAGATTGTTTTTCTACAAGGGTGCTTCAAAGAGTTCCCTTTGGAAAAACAATTGAAATGTAAATTCATTTTGGCAAATATAGTTGGAATTAATGCATAGATTTTCCATAAGAATTTTGCATGAACTTCTGAAGTGGCCTCATGCCTGTCTCGTTACCATCTATAATTAGTATCGCTATCCAAATGTTGGATAGAAACTCTACATAGCCTGGCCCTCACTTCCTCCCCTCATTTCTTCCTTCTTTCCTTCCTCCCTTGCTTACTTCCTTTCTTTTTAATTTCAAATGGACACACGCTCAGATAACCAAGACAAATCTTCTACTGTAAATTTAAAAATATAGGCCAGGAGGCAGAGATAGTCAGCTAATCACATTTTTCCTTCTAAATAAAGCACTTGAAAACCTGCTCAGCCAATTATTTTTATTGAAGTAAACGTGTGCTTCCTGCGGAGGCAAAAGTGTAAGGAATGGCTGTGCTGTACATGCTTTTCTGGGACGCCTTTGTCTTCACACTCCATCTGTGCCTCAGTCTACCCGCAAGGCTGAAGATCCAGGCAACACGTCTTAAACCTCTTGCAGAGACCAACAATTTCTTCATTTTTATGACAACTTGTCAGGCATTTTCCGTTAAGCTTGTTGCATCTTTCATTAAAAAATTCATTCTTGGCTAGATAAAGGAAGGAGTCATCTGAATTATCTTTTCATACATGCCTTTTTGTCGGGTACAGTCATAGAACCAGTTAATAAAGATATCTTTACGAGTTATCCTAGACCCACGTCTGGGGCACGTGAAATATTTTCTGCTTGGCATTTTTGCATGTTTGCCACAGAATGAGAAACCAGAAAGAAGTTTTCTTTCAACATTTGTGACTAGGCTGTAGGAGGGCTTTGGGAAATGGGTACCATCTTTTAAAATAAACATCATTGTGTGTTAATATTAAAGGGTCCCTGTAAGCACCACTAGCACTTTCAGAGGTAACTGCTTACTGGAAGTAAGGCACTAGCCTTGGAGAATGGAATTCATTCCATCATGTGGGAATCTATCACAGCATCCAACGCGACAGCACGTGAGTAAGGGATGATCCGAGTTACGCTGCTTTAGCCAATATCACCAGACATGGATATGTAGACAGCTCTGAACTTCATCTATTTATTCCATTTTCTGTCAGTCTTCCTTATCTGTCTTATCTTCTACAGCTCCACATTTTCAAAGTATCACACACTACTCTCCTTGATTTTCAACTTTTTTTTCCTAATTTTGTATTAAGCATGAGAACAGGCATCAGAAGGAATCTTCCCTCACATTCCTTTATTTCTTCAAACCTGGGACAGACCCTCCTGTATAACAGAGGGAGATGCAAATACTTTGTGGAACACACTGGAATAGGGCTGGCTTCTGCGAAACACTCTCCCACAATGCCACCAACGTCCCCCACAACTGGGCACTGACTTCTCCCAGGTGTCCACTAAAATGGACTTCCTCTTTGGGCCTCCATTCCCGATCACCTTCCCTAAGCGGATGCTTTTACCTGGGACCAGCAAGAAGAAAGCAGCCAAGAGAAAGAGGAACACCCTCATGCTCTGGAGAGGCCCGCAAGCTCAGCAGCATGTCCACGGACAAGGCCAGCAGACGCCCACATTTATACATTCCCGCAGACCAGAAAGTGCCTTGGGCACAGTCCTGACCACTGAGCCTTGTCGGAAGGCAAGTGTGTGCTCCACTCTGCTGTGAGGAGCACACAGCTTTGCTGCGGTGTCACTCGGTGTTCTGATTCTAGAAAGTTCCCAGATGTTGGCCACTAGGTGTAGAGACACAGACTCGAGCAGTTTGGATTTCCAAGCAGTCCTCGCTAACCTTGGCTGGTTCACATGTAGAGTGGGGTGATTCTAGCTATGGCACTGCCGCCAGTAAATGTGGCAAAAGGTGCTTCAACTAGACATGTGTTTTGTTAATCATTCACAAATGTGAATTTTGCATGCTTTAAATGTTACATACGTGATCTCCTTTAATCCTCAAGTGTATTTTCATGTAATTGCAAGGTTATTGGATATTCCATCAAAAGTGCATGTGTATTTTTATAGCATTTTTGCTAAAATATTGGATATTTCACTAAGAGTATGTGTGTATAGTATTTTGATTATGAAAATATAAGTAGAGGTTTAAATCCTCTTAAATATCCTTTTTTTTAACAGAAAGGCAGATTAACAGAGAGAAGGAGAGACAGAGAGATAGATCTTCCGTCTGCTGCTTTACTCCCGAAGTGGCCACAACAGCCAGAGCTGAGCTGATACCAAGCCAGGAGCCAGGAGCTTCTTCCAGGTCTCCCACACGGTGCAGGGTCCCAAGGCTTTGGGCTGTCCTCTGCTGCTTTCCCAGGCCACAGGCAGGGAGCTGGATGGGAAGTGGAGCAGCTGGGATGTGAACTGATGAGAGTATCAGATCCCAGTGCATGCAAGGCATGGGCTTTAGCCACTAGGCTACCATGCCGGGCCCTCCATTTGATTTTTAATTACACTTTTAGATTATGATACTCTGTTTTCCTGCTTTTCTTATGCTTGCCATGTCATGATACTTATATATTAGAAAGTTAAGCTCGCAACAGTGAAATGAATTAGTATGCTTTTGTATCAAAATCACGATCTCTTTAAGAAGATCACATGAGGTAGTTCTTGTTTTCCTCCAGAAAAGTAAAGCTGAACGAGAGAAGGGACTGATGAACTCCTTGTGCCTTGATGGCTGTGGCAGAGCTGTGTGTGACCCCAGAGTTTCAAAGTCCTAGCCTGGTGTTCTTTTGCTGTGCTAATAAGACTCCTCCAGATCCAAGGCTTAATGGGTGCCAAGGTTATGGATGTAAACCCTTGATCCTGGTAAATAGTGCATGAAATTATGCTTTTATTAATGCTTCTCTTCACCGATTAAAACCATATCTCATTATTTTCCAACATAAATGAGCTTTCCCTCTCTTAAAGAAATTACAAGCTTCTCAAATAAATTGCTGACTTCTCTTCCCAGAATTGTCCTCCCTGTAAGACGGTCATGAGCAGGATGACGTTTTACTTTGCCTTTGCTTTTTTCTTCATTTTGGCTTTTTCATCAGGTATATGAAATGGACAGGGTTTTGATGAAGCTGGAAGAGTCCCAGATGAAGCGCCACAAAGCCGAGTAAAGTCGCCTCCGCAGTGTTACTCATAGGCACCCACTGGGCTGCGATGGGATTTTCTGAGAGTCCACCGCATATGCTGCTGTCATTTTTAATTTTAACTTGTTTTTACAGATCAGCGCTCATCCTGAGAACTAGAATAAAATCTGTGTCTCTGTCCTTCTCAGTGCCTTGATGAGCATGTTACGTGCTGGGTTGGGAATACTGTTTCATGGTGTTATGCCCTGTTTTGGCTTCAATTTCTGAAATACATTTTGTTTTGAATTTAGAGGGCCAGGCAGAACTTGATTACTCCCAGTCATTTCCAGCAGGTAAGTTAAATCCCTTGGATGTATTTCTCGCTTTCTTCATTTCACGCTTAGAAATGCCGGCCGTGTCAGCTGTCTGTTCTGGAGGTGACCAGCAAATGCACGTGGTGTGCGAGGCAGAACGACTTGAAGCTTCTTCTCTCTCATGCTTCCAACATGACATTCGGGTTTTTCCATTAAAAAAAATCTTTCTTATTGTACTTTAATATTTTCGTAGAGATGTTGACTTTACTTTTTTCCATTAGCTCATATGTTAATTACACAGAAGTTATAGCTATAATCAAGTATCAGTTACTTGGCACTGCTCTGCTAACAAGGATGCCCACCCCTTACAGGCCGTGCTTCTGGTCACACTAAGGGCGGCCATGTAGCATGGCACTGAACTCAGTCTGACACGGTAACAAGATTACCTAATGAAAGCTCGCTTCCACTGCGGAAGATCTGTATACAGTGGATATGCCTTCCGTCTTCTTCTGTGGAGTCATCTTATACAGAGACACAGTACATTATAATAGAACCAAAATAAATACTTCTGTATAATTGGGAACAAAAATGGCAAAACTTTTACACAGAATTCCAGAATGAGAAACATGAAGGATATTACCTCTCATGGATTGGTTACTGCATAACCAGGCAGTGGTACCAACTTAACACAGATTGCTTTATTTAATCCTCAAAATATCACTATAAGGTAGACAGTATTATAACCAAAACAACCACACATAAAATACTGTATTTGTCCACTAACAAATTAATAATGCAGAGAGATATTTCTAGAATTTCCAGCAGACAAATGAAAAATCTGAGATAGGTAATTTATCAAAGACACATGGCATTATTTGTTCCAACAAGAGTTGAAACTAATTCTCTTGACTCCATTTTTTAAAGATCTTTCCAGAATCATAAAATATTCTTCCCATATTCATGTAACAAACAGTATCATCACGTATTTGTATCATTCTATAAGACATCTTGTTTTTCTGTGGTTTACCTACTTGTGCTAAGCTATAAACACCTGGAAAGCAGGAATTGCGATTACCATTTGCTTTAAAAAATGAATTCATTCAAATATCATACTGAAAAAAAGCAGGAGTACTTTGAAACATTGGGGCAAATTCTTGGCAACGGTCTGTAATCAGCCGCCTAAGCTTCCCCATGTTGTGGACTCTGTCACGTCTCACTTTTCAGTAGCACGCGTGGCGAGCCCTCTGAGCAGCACTTTCTTAACACAGGTGAGTTTGCTGTTTGTGAGCCGTGCTGGCTTGGTCGGGGCAAATGCAGGAAGGCATGCTTGGAGAAGGAGCAGATTGCTGGGAGCTGCAAGCTGAACTACTTCTGCTGCCGGCCGAAGCGCTGACGGCCAGGACGGCGCTGGCCCCCTCTCGTGACTATAGCACCGTGCTGCATCTCTCTTCTTGCCTACGGAAGAAAGTGGTTAGAGACTGATTAGCTTACAACGTTGTGTAGAATTCACATAACCAATGGGCTGTGTAGCTTTGCTTTGTGAAATAAAATGTTACGGTCTTATTCTTGGTGACTCAAAGTGATCACTCAGTTTAACATTTAAGACTTAACAGAATTTTGCTCCATGCTTGGATCTGCCAGTGTTCTCTCTGTGCTCAGACCCATCCCTTGTCCTTTCCGTGGCTCCTCTGCACACACAATGCCCCGCTTTCATCTTGTGCTGGATTCAGGAAATACAGCTGTCTGGTGGGATGGAGGGAGAATTCAGATTCCTTCCCCTGCTGTCTGTTCTCCATGTCCACGGCCAAGCCCTGCCACTGTCACACAGTCACTTGGTGATTCCCTGGAGCCTGGTTTCTGCAAGTCTGGCTGACTCCAGGACTCATACCAAATCCTCCTGTGTTTCTTCAAGTCAGAGGGTCTTGGGGAGTCAGCTGTGTCTATTTTGGCCTTGCATCACCACTCCAGTTTTGCATTCCCAGCTTTACTGTCTATTTACTTATTTTATTAAATTTATTTTATTATATGGCTTCATAGGCTCTGGGATTTTCCTTCCCCTCTCCTCAATTCACCTCCCTTCATTGATTTCCCCTATATTATTACAATAGTATATTCATTCAAAAATAGTCAGAGGTCCATCATTCTGCTATTAAGTGTAGCTTGACTTTTTCTTGGGCTCCATGGGTGCTTATGAAAGGGTTCTGGTCTCAGTTTTGTCGAGGCTGTTGGAGGGAAAGGTCTCCTCTACAATGGGTGGGTTGAGGGGTGCAGAGCAGAAGAGTAAGGGTGTGGAGCTGTCTTCTGGAAACTATCTATGGTATGCATGCATAAGTTCTCTTTACATTCATATAAACATTTTTTCAAAGACAGAAATGTCAGAGAAGAGGCTCTGAATCTGGTTTTCTCTGGAAAGATCTGCATGGTATTTAAGTATACATAACCAATTTGTTCACCATGGCTGCAACCCTTTCATTAAAAATAGTGTACTGGGGATTGGTGCGGCAACATAGCACGCCTCTTGCCCGTGTCACCAGCATTCCATATGTACGCTGGTTTGCACCTCAGCTGCTCCACTCCAGATCCAGCTCCGTGCTTATGGCCTGGGAAAACAGCAAAAGATGACTCTAGTCCTCGGGCCCCTGTGCCCATGTGGGTAAGCCAGATGAAGCTCTTGGCCTGTGGTTTCAGATCAGCTCAGCTCCAGCGCTGTGGCCATTTAGGGTGTAAACCATCAGATGGAGAATCAATCTCTTTCACTCTCTCCTTTCTATAGCTCTGCCTTTCAAATAAAAATAATAATTTAAAAACCCATAACAACTCCCATGCCACAAAGCAACAATCATATTATCATAGTAACAGTATATAACTAGCTTTTGGTTCATGTCCTAGCTGCTTCAGGTCTGATCCAGCTCCCTGCTGATGGTCTGAGAAAAGCAGTGGAGGATGGTGCAAATACCGGGCCCCATATTAAGACCTTGTGAAACTTCTGACTCATGGCTTTAGCCTACCCCGGTATTAGCCAAAACATCTTAGCATTTGCATATTCACTGCCTCGGATAAGCAGTGAACAGAGAAGCATGAGGAATATAGACACGCATAGGCCATTTTCAGGGGCTGCCTCTGTCCTCAAAGCCTGTCCAGGGGGAACAACAGAGCAAGCAAGCCCTCAGCAGGCAGAGTCCAAGCATGAGAATGCAGGAAGTGCAGGAGACAGGGAGCCCTTCCCAGTGCAGGCTTTATGAGGCTCTGGAAGAGAGCGGTTATGCAACAACAATCCCCCACTGCTGGGCCAAGCAGCAGTGACTCCAGCCTGCTGCCAGGTCAAGCAGAAAGTGCCACTCAGGAATGTCTGGGATGCGAATCACCTTCACCTAGTCCGTGGGCAGAAGTCACCGAGGAGCAACTGACTACCTTCTCCCATCCCCGCACCTAGGATGTGTGGAAGCCCCACGCCGTATGCCCTGGGCAGCCATGTCTCACCCACGGTCACCCTGCCGTGTAGAAGTGGTCCCACCAGTGAGCGGTCTGTCAAGACTCTCTCCCTTGAGTAATAAAACTCTTTCCCTGAGCTAAAAGATTCTCTCGATTGTTTTCATATTGCCCCATCCTTAACCAGCGGGCTGCTGCGCTTTAGCTCTGAGAAGTAGCCCTGCCAGTAAGCCCTGGCAAATCTAGTGCCTTTCCTGGTGTGTGGTGTGGTAGTGTGGCCCAAATTGTTAACATCCACTCTCTCAGGTAATGATGGGTATGCATTCTTTAATGAGTAGGTGGGTAAAACAAATTACACAGTTGGGGGAGGCATGGCTCCCAAACTCGTAACCCTAAACTGGCTGCGTAGACCATAACATTGATTTCAACATTTCCAGTATAATGTATGTGTTGTGTCCACAGCTATCCACCGTTTGCGTTACAAATGGAGGCTTCTTCCCTTTCCCGTGTGCTATTCTCCACTATGCAGCCCATCTATGAGAATATCTGTATATACATGCTTACCTATAGTTATGTGTGCATACAAATATATATCTATTTATTTATCTTGTATTTTGCATACATTGCAGTATGAATTATACTCCTGAATACAAAGAATACTTCCAATGAAACTGTTAAATACACTCTGACAACAGAATACTAGGCTTCTACAACTATCTATACCTGCAATGCCATGATTCACTAAACAGCATGTGACTGACGGATTATACTGTTGTAATATGGGGGAGTTGGGGAGGGGATCCCTGTGCCTATTGAGCCATATTATGAAAAATTAAAAATCAGAACAGAAGCAGACAGAGGCTTTAGGCAGGAATTGTGACGTACAGGTGCATTTCCTCTTGGTTTCTACAGCCTGATTTTGTTTGTTAGAAGGCCTGATGCTTACCGGCAGACAACACCGTCTCTGCGCTAAAGGGTTTGTCTTCCAGTCGTAATCTATTTTGTTCCTGGCTCTCCTGAAATTGTTTCCATTTGTTTTCTTTGAATCCATGGACTTTTCCTCCATTTCACCACTAGGTGGCAAATTAACAGAAGGAGATCCGGACACAGGCAGGAACACGAATGGGATTTTTATTCCTAGATTTGTGGGGAAGGAGAAAGGGGAAGTCAAGAGGAAAATCCCTCTACCTACAAAATGTATCTTGGAAAATAATAAAAATAAATTTTAAAAAGAGATACAATTTAAAAATTAGTATGTTAGGTGAAATAGGGCAGGCACAGGAAGACAAGTGCGTATCACGCGCGTACACTAACAAACGCTCTGAACCGTGCCGGGAGCTGGTGTGGACTAGCACAGGGAACACATGTGCAAGCGCAAAGGCTGCTGGCTTCATCTGACGGACTCACTCTGTGTTAGGCTTAGGGGCAACTGAGAGCGAGCGAGAGACGCTTTTATTTCAGGTAAAGAGTTTTATTAGTCAGGGCACGAGAGCCTGAAGGACAGCTCCCTGGCAGCAGTGGGCCCGTGACCACTTCTTCATGGTGGGTGGACATGTGAGGGAACTGACGGCCCAGTGTGCGCGGCCCTGGGCTGCGCATGTGGGGCACGGGGTGGGCAAGGCGGCAGCTCCTTGGGCTTGCATGTGGGGTCCTGTGGCACGCGCTCATCACTTCCTGTGCAGAGACAAGGTTAGATGACCCGGCATTCTGGATGACAGTGTCAGTTTCAGTTTCACAAGGCTGTCACGTCTGATCTGCCCAACCGAACAGTGCATACATGTGCAAACATCGCGATGTCTCCTACAATATTTTTAGAAAAATTTTGAAACTCAAAATGTTAGCTTAAGAAATCTGATTTAGAAGTATGGGAGTGCAGAACTCTAATTTTTACAATTATCTAGTGACTATTTTTCTAGCTCTATTATAAAATATTGGATGAAGATGATTTGGAATCAAAGCAATACATCGCAATACAGTCAAGCAATCTACGAAATACATATCAGAAATTACATAGAGAAAATCGGATTCTTAAGTATTTTTGGAAAATTTCTGGAGTTGCAAATATAGTTTGGAGGTTTTGTTAGACAAGGTCCACTCAGAAAAACCAAAAGTGTGCTGAGTATTTGAAACAGATAAATGTGGACGTTCTACTTAGCCATTAAGCCACCAGTGATGACACCCGTGATACATTTTGAGTACCTGAATGAGATATCCATCTAACTCTTTGTTTATTGATAGCCTTGATTAGCGCCCCCCCATCCCCACCCCTGTTGGTACTGTAACTCCCTGAGGAAACTGATTTCTCCGGTGCTTGGGTCAACTGGAAGACCTGGATCGAGTTCCTGATAGATATTTGTGGAGTGAACCAGCAGATAAGAACTCTTTCCTCTGTGTGTGTGTGTGTGTGTCAGTCAGTCTGCTTATTTCACTCTGTCTCTCAAATGCAGAAAAGATAAACTGAGGAAAACTAATGGGAGTGATCGATTAATTAGGCCCTGGAAGTTTACAAAGGCACAGAGGATGAATAACACGAGGAGGGGCTGCTTACCTCCAGCATGGTTTGTGATAATGAGACAGGAAGCAATGTCCTGTGACGAGTTTACACAAGCAAAGTAGGAGCCAACGTTCACACTTCTGCAGAGATGTTGTCAGACTGGTTCTGGGATGACCAAAGTACACAGCAAATCCCACCACAGCCCCTGATCCTCTTCAGCCCCTGGCTGCTGCTCGCTTGGTCTGAGACTGCTGAGAGAGCCAGCAGAAGCTAGGGTTTGGAGATAGAGACAAACCCTGCATACTACTGGGCTTCTGAGCACAGGAATTAGGGACCAAAGCAGGTGACCCTTCTCTCTGTTTTCCTATCACACTGTGGAGCCGTCCATGACAAGCACTACAAAGAAGCTAACTGGCCAAGGAGTCTGGCAAGTGCAATTTTCTGATTCTCGGCACAAAATGACAGAGCAG